AAAACCGAACGAAACCGAACCCCGGCAACACTAATCAGGTGACCGCATTACAAGTCATCCACCCCAAAAATCGACTCAACGCGGAGCCACCTTTTTGTGATGAGATTGCCTGAGATGAAGGTCACATCATCAGATTGGAAAGTGGGAGGCAGTTAAGAATGGCCAGATAGCACAAGTGGTAGTGCACCAGAGACAGGTGTCTGAAACCGCAAGTCGTTCATCTGGGGGTCCTTGTTCGATTCGAGGTCAGGCCGTAGAAAATGTGTGGATTTTTTTTTTCGGCCGGCTTCTGTTCCCTGTATTGTGTGCAGCGGGTGCTCATCCATTTGCTGTGCTCGGCAAGTTTCCATTCATCTGATGACTTGGTCACTTCTTGTTCTCGGTGCTCCCCTATGAATCGCGTTGCTCGCGGCGACACGTGTTCCTCCCAGGCCCCCAGTCACTCAGCCCTAACTAGGTCCGCCGGAGGCCCGACATTTTCGTTGATTTACCTTACAATTTTAGGCCTCCAGGGCGTTGATTTACCTTAGGTCGGACCTAGGTCCAGCCGTAAAATGACCCAAAACTCCGATTTTCCCTCCATGATCTGAAATTTTAGTAGCTTTCGTCCGTATGAGTTGTGGGTCGCATTCAAGATGAAATTCCGGACAAGACTCATCGTTTCTGATGGCTGGCTATGCCCCAAGGCCGCAAAAAAAAATCCGCCCTGCGCGCGATTTACTCTACAACGGACCTAGTGGCCTGGCTTTCGCGTTGATTTACCTTACAATGCGGACGCGCGAAGGCCAAATTTTGGGCGTTGATTTACTTTACAGCGGACCTAGTTAACCCTGAGTGACCGGCCGCCTTTCCTTCCCCCTACGCACTGACGTGCTCACGGAACGGACCGGGAAATCCGAAAGGAAGTGCGTAGACTGTCAGCGCCCGTTCGCAGCCCCTAAGCCTTTCTCGATCGTTGTGCACTGTGAGAGACCCCTCGCTCTCACGCCCCATCCGACTCTCCATTCTTGCACTTTTATTGTTTGTTGTTCTCTCCAGACTGCCACGTCTGATTCCTGATTGTTCTCCCCTGTGATGGATGCGAGGGACGTCGACATCCGGCCCACGTTCAGAGGGGCGAGAGAACTGGCGTAAGTGGTGGATTGACCCAAGAATGTAACTACTGACAGCCAGGTTATATACTACGGAACAGAGGCAGTGCATGATGTTGATGGTAGGTAGGTGTAGGTAGGTATTATTACACGGCACGGTCCGAATAACGAACGCCGGTTTCCAGGGGTTATCCCAGTGTACAAAGCAGGCTAAATTACACCTTCGCCTCTGGGCCCTCAGACGCCTTCCAAGCCGAGCTCACAGATACCATAGGTAGCCTCAACCACCCATGCCCCGCGGTAGAACCCAGTCGACGGCTGAAAGCGATTAGTAACGCACCACATCACCGCAATAATTCCTCCTCACCCAACATCATCTTCTCTTCCGCGTGGCCGATATATCGGAACAGAAAGTGCGACGGCACGGCATAGGCATAAGGCATAGTAAGCATAATTTGGTGATTTGGTACCCCCAAGAGCTTACAGACACTCGTCTCCGTTACATCCCCGTTCTTGCTCCCCACCTAATGTTCTTCTAATATTCTTGGTCATATTGTTCAACCAGCGATATTTCATATTGCTCTGGGTATAAATATCGCACACATATCTGTAGCCACTCGTCGATCAACTTTGTCAGTAGTTGAGAATCTTACCCAGTTCCTCTCGGAATCCTCGCCTGTTTATCATTCGACTCACCGCTCGGTGCCAGAATACTGCCGCTTTTAGCAACGCCGGGGAGCTCAACATATTTGGGGGAGGTACCAGTTGATTTTAAAGACTTGAAAACTCAATAAACTCGGAACACTGTACTGAGGCTCGTTTGGGCTCGGGACGGTGTCAGTTTTCGACTTTGTTGGCCTCGGAGGCACTTGTCATTAATCACGTCGGAATGAACACCCAAGAAAATGAACACGACGGGTGACATGGTGTGAACATTTGGTCAAAATGGTACAGTAGTCGGACAGTTTCAGACTTCTATTTCTTACCCCTACGATCCGCCGTGGAGGGCTTCGGTCGTACTTCGGTCTATATTAGACATAGGAGAAGCATGTGCTGCCGCGAGCACCGCGTTGCACAGGGGAACACCGAGAGCAAGAAGTGACCAAGTCATCAGTTGAATGGAAACTTGCTGAGCACAGCAAATGAATGAGCACCCGCTGCACACAATACAGGGAACAGAAGCCGGCCGAAAAAAAAAATCCACACATTTTTTATGGCCTGACCTCGAATCGAACGAGGACCCCCAGATGAAGGATTTGGTCCACAAGCACCTGTCTCTGGTGCATTACCACTTGTGCTATCTGGCCATTCTTAACTGCCTCCCACGTTCCAATCTAACGATGTGACCTTCATCTCAGGCAATCTCATCACAAAAAGGTGGCTCCGCGTTGAGTCGATTTTTGGGGTGGATGACTTGTAATGCGGTAACCTGATTAGTGTTGCCGGGGTTCGGTTTCGTTCGGTTTTTTCTCAAAAAGTCCGAACCCCGAACTGAACCTTGGGTTCGGTGCAGGGAGGTTCAGTTCAGGTTCGAGCGAGGTTCGAACTCGAATGAACCTGAATTTTTCGGTCATCAAAATCGGCCGGTGAGCTGACAACAGTCATTGAATCATCTCAGCACTGGCTACTTTACAAGTACCATACAGCCTCCTCATCTTTGAGTGCATCGAAGCAGTCTATCATGCGTTTTGTGGCCTCCTCTGCCGCCCCAACATGATTGTTCCGGTACACATTTTTCAAGATCTGAAGTGCCTCAAACATCTTGGGCACCAGTCAGTTGCGGTGCGGTGTAGCGGTGAACGTTCCGTTGGAAAACACCCCTGTATATTGCACCGGTACTGCAGAGCATTTACAATTTTGACTCCATATTGACCAATTATGACGGGCCCAGGTCAGAATATCGGTCCGAAGTTTGGTCCGGGAGTACTGAATTGGCTCAGGCAGTTCCAGGCCTAGATGCACTCGCGAAGAGCTCGGGTAAACAGGGCAACACGGGAGCAGTAAGAAATACTAGAAGTCAGATTAACCCGTTCGCACAGGTTCGCACAATGTCCGAAAAAAAACACGAATCTGCGAACCCTAAACCGAGCCCAGGGTTCGGTTCAAGTTCGCTGCAGGCCCCGAACCTGAATTGAGGTTGGGTTCGGGTTCAGTTCGGGTTCGCCATCGGGTCTGAACTAACCGCGGCAACATTACACCTGATAAAGTTGGGTAAGGTCGACGAGCAGCACGGCCCGCTACCGGAAATAAACCAATAGGTGGAGAGTGAGATCATCGCGAGAACGGGGGTACCTTCGGTCAGCTTGTCGTACAGCTCGTGGGGCGCAATCAAGCTGCCGTCGGTATATCTGTAGTCCCGTTGGACGAGTAGTCCTTTTTCGTGCGCGAAATATGGTCCTGGATGGTCGGGAAGCTTGGCAGGCGGGTAGTTATCACCAATTTGACGTTCTGCAATATGGTTAGGGATGCTCAGCGCTTGTTTCAAATTATATGTATCGGCAGCCTGCGAGGCTTCCATTATAACATCGCCCATGTTCTCGGAGGTCTCGCTCAATTCGCGGATCAACTTGAGCTGTTCATTCTAACATTTCAGCTTGTCAGCGGCTTCTTGCTGCGCCTGGTCAAATTTTTACCCTCTTCGCAAATGACCGATGTTTCTGCGTAATTGTCCGATAATATCAGTGCGATGGTGTTCAATATTCAAATTCGCAAAGATTCGACGCAAAGAGTTGGGAGAACATGAATAGCAGTCAAAATATGGATCTGCAAATCAGGATCGATTTTACTCCCCTGCCATTCATTACATACATCGACGCAGTCAGGGAAAGTTGCAGCATCTGAGAGTGAAATCAGAGGATGTGAGTGGGAGAACTGAGTGCAATGTCCCGAGATCACATGCTGTGTGATTTGAGACCGCAGCCAGTCAACCGTCGATTTTTCTGCCACATGGATGTGATGCAATGCAACGGTATACAACGGAACAGATTTGCGGTGGCTCTCGAAGGAAGTTAAAAAATCAGCCACAGATGCAGAGGATCGAGTTTCGACGTCCGGAGATGACATAGTCCCTGCATGCCGCCGTATAGCAGCGCGCAGTTTAAAGCGCACATTGCGAACCCCAGACACATGCGAATTTAAGGCGGAAGCTACATGAGAGAGGCTTTCCGTCGATTTCTGTTTTGGCAGGAAGAATGGTATCGAAAACAGCTTCGGACATGTAAGCAGATGACGCAAATTCATGAGAAAGAGCACGACAAGCTGAACGATCCGGACAAGGAGCTGTAGAAGCATCGACATCATGGTCAAACCAAGCTCCAGTCACAATGTGATGGATTAGCACCTGTCTGCATTCAATTAATGTGAGATTGGCATGTGGTATCAAGGGCTCGTTGTATTGTTTGTAAGTCTACATGAAAAACAGAAATGCGAGATCCCACAGTATGATGCCCGAGAAATATGTCAAGCAGAAGGTTCAAGGACGTCATGGAAGTCTAAGATTCAACGTGTTTCACACAGGACGAAGTAGATGGGCAACGGCAAGCGGCTAGTTACACCCCCGCAGGCGCACTAATGTAGGGATGTAAGCCAGACGAAACTGTAATTAAGAGAGAAGGATCACACACGTTCTGACGGCATGTATTCCATCTGAATAACAGGCTCGACGTCACCGACTTCGGTGTCGATATCCATCGGACACGCTTGCGGGGCATTTAACGACGAGGCTGAGAAAGAGGGTAGCCCGAGAGAATTTCGGATGTTGATGGAGTATCGGTTCGGAGCCCGGAGCGAACGAGGCCTTAAGGAAGGACGCAGTCGGGAGACTGTCACGGCATATCAACAACAACAAAAGTGCAAGAATAGAGAGTCCGATGGAGCGTGAGAGTGAGGGGTTTCTCACAGTGCATTACCACCGGTTGTGCACGAGTGCTGACAGCCTTGCCCCTACGATTCGCCGTGGACGGCTTCGGTCGTACTTCAGTCTATATTAGGCATGGGAGGAACACGTGCCGCCGCGAGCACCGCGGTGCATAGGGGAACACCGAGAACAAGAAGTGACCAAGTTATCAGATGAATGGAGACTTGTTGAGCACAGCTAATGAATGAGCACCTGTTGCATACAATACAGGGAACAGAAGCCGGCCAAAGAAACGAGAAAAAAAAAAAACATGCATATTTCGCATGGCCTGACCTCGAATCGAACGAGGATCCCCAGATGAATGATCTACGGTTCCAGACACCTGTCTCTGGTGCACTACCACGACCTGTCTCTGGTGCACTACCACGTGTGCTATCTGGCCATTCTTAGCTGCCTCCCACTTTCCAATCTAATGATGTGACCTTCATCCCACCAAATCTCATCATACAAAGGTGCCTCCACGTTGAGTCGAACAACGGCCCTCCCTGAGAGAATATTTGAGATCCAACTATTGTTGCTGGATGCACTATCGCTGCGCCATGGAGGCATGCATATTTTATATTGAAGCAAAGCAAGACCGTGGAGATCTGAGAGTATTTCGAACCTGATCTCGACCGGCCCAGCAGCACTTATGCCAGCGTACTAATACTTGGATTGTGGTCTTAATTCCCTGGTATTATTACTAGAGCCTGCAGGGAAAAAAGAATGGGCACGATTCCATTAATAATTATGGAACAATTCTGTACTTGATTTTGCTCTCTGGCAATAATTCTGGGGATCAGATTCATATGCATGCAGAGATTTCATTTAAATCCTGCTGCAACCCCTCGCAGACCGTCCCTAATTATTGGCTTCGGCAGAAAAAACAACGTTGATGTTATCTGTTAGAAGCCTTTCCGATTACTGCAGCCTTGCCGTGGTCGGGGATTACAAAATGTTGAATGCGGAGGAGTGGAAAACTCGCAGGATGATTTTAATCTCAGAGCCTACGTTCAGGGCTGCAGAGATATTTTTTCCTGGGCAAAAGAGTGGAGCTTCCGACACTCATATTAGTATCTGATATTAAGGGTATTTCGACCGATTCTTTGTGGATTTCAGAGGAGGGAAAACCCAGAAAACGTTAGAATACTCTCCCAAGGATTCCGGTACCATTAAATGCTGAAAATGGTCCTCGTCGACACGACTGCCCACTCGCGGGAGACCAAAATTCTGTTTATGGGAGGTTTACATATCCAGCTCCGAGCCAACTCGAGCGAGCTTGTGGCGCTCGAGCCTCGCATGGTTTGAAATTGAGCGATCTCCAGCTCGCTCGATGTCAGCTCGCGGTAGAAACGCGCCGATGCGACACGATCGCGTGATAACACCATGTCACCAAGCACGAACAAACCGGGATTTCGGGATTTGGAGAAAACTTTGTTCCAAAATATGTTTGCGGCCCTAAAAAAGTCGATATAGCCCGCACCCAAACACCTGAGTCCTGACCTAGCCTACCACGAAATACCTGACTAAGCCCGCCTTCGAGCCCGACTTTCATGTCTTGACCGAGCCCGGCTTTTAGATGTTTGTACTCCTGTCCCTGTTCGACTCAGGGCCGGGTCGTCTTTTTTTGTTCTTTCATCGCTTGCGTGTTGGTTGCTGACTTTTTGCTTACCTCCCTAAATCTCCGCTATCTTGACTCATTTAAAGACAGATCCATCGATCGTACAGACCATTACAAGAAAATAGCATTCTAAAGTAAAGAGATAGAGAATCACAAGTGTAAAGTGATAAGATTTCAAAGGAAAGAGACAAGCCTAAAGGAATTTCAAGCGTAAAGTGCAATTTTAAACCTTTGCGTGAGGAAACCCATAGGGCAGTATCCCCGGAGGCAATGGCTCGTTGCGTGCAATAGCTTAAGTAAACAGAAACACCATTAGTACAGGCATCCAGGCTGTGCAATCGAAAAGATACCTTCCCGGCAGGGCCGCGCAGAGACAGCAGCGAACATTGGGAGTAGCGTGACTCATGCGACAGCTGCCATCCCAAGATGGCACGCTCATCACTCCTCATCATCCGTGTGGCGGCGTCGGGGTCGCAGTCCCCCACCCAGTAGAAACTCTCCAGGTAGGGTGCCACTAGACGCGGAACACCGTCGGGTACACGGTAGTATGCAGGCAGCAGCGCAGTCGCAGCCATATGAAAGAATGGCACGCTCATCACTCCTCATCATCCGTGTGGCGGCGTCGGGGTCGCAGTCCCCCACCTAGTAGAAACTCTCCAGGTAGGGTGCCACAAGACGCGGGACACCGTCGGGTACACGGTAGTATGCAGGCAGCAGCGCAGTCGCAGCCATATGAAAGAAGACGGACTTACCAACGCGCAACAGGCGGCCTGAGTCTGTTTTCTTGCAGGCGTGTGCCCCCAGAAGACAGGTGTGCTGAGGGATATCATAAAGTCAGCAGAGGATTCGAAAGGGGTCAGGAGAAAATGACGCGGCTTGACGCGGACTGACGCGGCATTGACGCGGCAATCCCTAAGCCTAACTAAGCCTGACTAAGCCTGACTAAGCCCGACTAGCCGACTTCGGAATGCATTAAACTCCCGTTCTACAGTATATTTCAGAGTCTACTGATGCCCTACAGGCTCTAAACCCTAAATTTAAGGTTGCGGGTCTGATATTCTGGTAAATCTCGTAAGAAAGTCGACTTCAACCTCCCTCATAGCACGGGAGATTAGGTTCAACATCAAACTGAGTTTTACCGTTCTTTGCTGACCATCCGGAGGTAGATTTTCAATAATTGAGCTCCCTCTCGATGCGCGCCAGTGCCGTGTCAGCACAGCCACCGGGTAAATTGACGCGCACGGTTTCCTTCCTTCCACCCAGGGTCTGTTGCTGATATTTGACTTCCAACAGGGAGTAGTACTCTCACTACATCGTTTTGGACCCAAATACATCACTCTTGGGCAATGTTAAAGGGGAGAAGTCACAATTCCCGGCTGTAATACTTGGAGTGAGAGTGTAGGAGCTCTGGGTCACTTGGGTGGGTCAAGGAACACTCTCTGAGAGTATCT